TGTTTGGCAAGCAGTTCAGAGAGTGGAAAGTCTCTGAACTGTCTGTATATGCACCATGTGTGTGCGAGTGTAGGCGGAGTTCAGAAGAGGGCATCCGGACTTCCAGAGCTGGAATCACAGGCAGTTGTGAGTAGCTGGGAACAGAACCCAGGTTCCCTGTAAGAGCAGCAAATGCTCTTAACCCCTGAACCATTGATCCAAACCCAACTTTCCTTTTTCCTTTCGTATCCCAGGCTTGCCAGGGACTCACCATGTACCCCCAGCTAAGCGCTAACTTTTGAGAGTCCTCCTACTTTAGCGTTTTACACGCTAAGATTGCACGTCTGAGTCGCCATGCCTAGGTTGTTTTACATTTTTCTGTACTAAGCCTCTGTTATAAGCCAGTGTCTTCCCCTAAGATCCATATTCGAGGCTAGAGATGTAGCTTTGTCGATGGAGGGCTTGCCTAGCATGCTTGGGCCTCTGCATTTCATCCCCAACACTGTATAAACTGGGCCTGGTCATGTGACTCCAGTACTCAGGAGGAGGGAGCAGGAGACCTTCAAAGTCATTCTTGGATATATATCAAGCTCAAGGCCAGCCAGGGCTGCATGAGACCCTGTCTCAAAACAAAACAAAACAAAACACCCACACATTGAAACTATAACCTGTGATATGAAGATGGGGGAGGGGCTTTGGGAGGCAAACTGTGGAAGAAGAGACCATGGGGGTGGACCCCATGACTGATTAATGTCCTTGTAGGAAGAGGAAGGGACAGGTGTATGTCAGTGGAAGAACACCTGAGGGAAAGGAAGGGAAAGGTCATCTGTCCTCCACCGTGAGAGAGACAGCAAATGGCAGCAAGATGGTGGCCATCCCAAGCGGGGAACCCACGAGGAACCAGTTCATCAGTGTCTTTTTTTGTTGCTTTGTGTTTTGAGACAGGGTTTCTCTGCAGAGCCCCCGGCTGTCCTGCTGACAAACTCGGAGATCCGCCTGCCCCTGCCTCCTGAGTGCTGGAATTAAAGGTGTGCGCCACCACACTGGGCTTAAAGTAGCTTCACATTTGGCCTCTGGCAGTGGACCTCAGTGGCTGTTTCTGCCTCAGCCTGTTTTATTACGTTACTGCAGCCTGAGCTGAAGACGCCTGAGCTGACGATGCAGCATCTGTTTCTTACAAATGAAGAGGTGGGGTGGGAGGTGTGAAACACCAGAGGGGAGCAAATGCGGCCAAGAGAAATGAAAACCAAAACAAGTCACAATAGGGACTTTAGGCGGCCAAGAGAAATGAAAACCAAAACAAGTCACAATAGGGACTTTAGGCGGAGACCCAGAATGGAGAAGGGAGGCTCCCTGGGGTTTTTCTACAGGGACCTGGGGCAGGGGGTGGGGGTGTCTGACCTTTCTCTGGCCTACAGAGGGGCCTACAGAGGGGCCAAGCTCTGCAGCTCCAGGCTGTGACCTGAGTAGAGCAGCAAGGTGAACCAACTCCTGGCCCCTGGCCTCAGCTGTTTTTCACACAGCAGTCTGGAGCAGGGGTGGAAGCAGCCAGCCGGCTCTACCTTCACGTTCCAAGTCGGCTGCCCAGGGAGGAAAGGAATGTGGTATGTGGGAGACGAGGGATGGGCGGAGCGTTTGCTCAGGCAGCTGGTGAGGGTGGAGTCAGTCTGGATTCTGCCCAGCGCTAAACGGTGCTCTATCAGATAAGAACCGTGGCCTGGGAGTTACCCCACAGTCCCAGTCCAACTGGGTCTCACAGAAGGGCAGCTCGGGCAAGCCAAGGGATGCTGGGGGCATTTTGATTCCCAAGGCGTTTTGCTATGAAAGCACTGAACGGGATAGAAGATCGGTTGTTTCCACAAGACCTACCCAGCTCTTGCTTGCTTCCTCATGCTCACCCCAGACCCCCAGCACCACTACCATTCTGCCACCTGCCTGTCACTGACCTTCGTTCTGCTCCTGACTGTCACCAAGTCTCTGCCCCCACCCCCCACCTTCCCCCACTGTAGATCACTCTTGGCTTCCAGAGCTGAGAGCCGGTGCAGGCTGAGGTTAGGAGTGGAAGTAGGGGTGTCTGCTTTACAGGCATCATGATAGAAGTTAGGAACACAACAATGGGGGCCGCTGGAGAGAGGACTTGCTGCTCTTGCAGAGGACCCGGGTTCAGTTCCTAGCACCCATGTTGTACAGCTCACAACCACCTGTACCTCTAAATGCAGGAAAATCCGACATCCCTTTCCTGGCCTCTGAGGGCTCCTGCATTCACATGCACGCACACAGACTCATAAGGAAAAAACGTGTAACTCTCTGGTCTTAAGAATAAATGTCCTAGTTTGAATGAGAGGTGTGCCGGTGCGTCCGTGACTGAATGACTGCTACAGTGTGAGAGAGCATGGAAGGCATTAAAGGCACTGGAAGGTTCTCTATGAGAAGTCAGAGAGTTAGGAAAGCTCCCAGTGCAAGAGGCCAGAGGTCCCAGAAGGGAGACCCCAGGAACGGAACACCTGACAATCCTTGTGAAGACAAGGGTGGTCTTTCTGGAATCCTTTCCTTTGGCAAGCTCCGTGACCTTTCTGCCTTCCTTTGTGGTCTGGCATACAAACACAGCACAATGTAGACTCCCAGGCAAGGGAAGACACAGGCCTAGCCAGTCTCTGGCCCCACCTCCTGTACACAGGGACAAATCTAACAGGGAGACCCGAAGTCCAAGCAGCACCAGCTTACACCTCGGGGGAGGGGAAGGGGGGAGGGAGGGGGGGAAGGAGTCCATTAATTGCTCCCAGTATTGTGGTCTAGAAGGATGCTGGGAGCTTGGAGCTGCTGGCAACCATCTAGCCTCTACATGGAGCATCAATAACCTGACTTCCCATTTCAATAAACCCCCTTGTTGCTTAGACTAGATCAAATCCCAACAGGCACCCCGGGGCTTACTGACCGACCATGCCCACCGATCCACAGCTCACAGTCACACCCTCCTCCCTGGGAAGGGAGCCCCTGTGCTTTAAGAACCCGTACAGCCGCCCTTCCACACGAACCAAGCACACCTTATTTATTGTTATGGTTCAAAGTAAAGTGTTTCCCTGGCAGTCTTATGTGTTTAAGCCCTTGCTTCCTAGCCAAAGATTCCTACCCACTTGGTTCCAGCCTCCGGTGTTTGGAGGAGTGTGGAAACTTCTGAATGTAGGGCCTAACTGGCAGAAGTGGATCCCTGGGGGCAGGGCCTTTGACGGTGACACCTGCTACCAGTTCAGGCCCAAGCTCTCTCTGCTTCCAGATCCACCCCAGGGGTGAACAAGTCATCCTGGGAACCCCTGTCTCTCCAGGCACTGTGGTGATATTTTGTTTATGATCTAACAAATAAAGCTTGCCTGAAGATCAGAGTGCAAAGCTAGTCACACTAGTTAGCCATAGAGGCCAGGCACTGGTGGCAGACACCTTTAATCCCAGCACTAGACAGGAATACAAGGCGGGTGGAGACAGGAGTGCAGGGTATTCAGTCTAGAGTCATGCTGAGGACAGGATGGCCCCAGCCTTGGGAGAGGTAAGAACTCTCTAGTGATTGGCTGCCTTGCTTTTCTGATCTTCAGCTTGAACCCCATTGTCTGTCTCTGGGTTTTCATTATTTGTGCTACAAGGCACCATGCCCTCCCTGCCATGATAGACTCCCTGTAGCCAAGGATCGCCTTGGCCTGTGATCTCAGCTCGGTATTAGGTCTTAAGAAAGTTTTCTAAGAATGTACAGCTAGCAAGTGGGCGCCTAGGGCTGGTCGCTTCTCTGACCCCAGTGCTCTGGGAAACAGGCCCGGTTTATTGAGCACCGAGTTCCTGAGCACCGCATTCCTGCTCTCCATCAGGTGTCTCATTTGTGCTGGGTGTGAATCTTTCCACAAAGCGACCCTCACTTAAGTCACCGCGCCTGCCCAGCACCTCCCTGCTGCAGTCAGGGTATCTAGACTCTAGCCCACGCCTGCACTGACGAACCTTCATGGCTAAGCCTCTGATTCTTCTTCTTCTCCCTCCCTTTCCACTTTTTCATGTGTGCGTGGGTGGTGTGTATGTAAGTGTGCATATGCATGGTTTTGCACGTGTCGGGGTGCACATATGTGCAAACACAGTGGAAACGTGAGATTGATGTCAGGGCTTATTTTTGATAGCTCTTTGCTGAGGCAGGAGCAATCAAACCCAGAGCTCACCGATACAGCCTTGCCAGCCAGCTAGCTCCAGGGATCCCATATCTCTCTGCCTTTCAAGGCTGGAACTGCAGGCGGCTGCCACACCTTCCCCCCCATTTATGTGCCTCTCTGAACTCCAGTCCTCACGCTTCTGCAGCAAGTGACCTAACCTCTGAGACACCTCCCCAGGCTGGATTCCTTATTATTATTCCTTATTAATTATTTTATTTTTATCTATTTATTTTCGGTTTTCCGAGACAAGGTTTTTTTGTATAGCTTTGGAGCCTGTCCTGGAACTTGCTGTGTAGACCAGGCTGGCCTCGAACTCACAGAGATTCACCTGCCTCTGCCTCCCGAGTGCTGGGACTGAAGGTGTGCATCACCACCACTGATTGGCTTCCTTCTTCTTCTTCTTCTTCTTCTTCTTCTTCTTCTTCTTCTTCTTCTTCTTCTTCTTCTTCTTCTTCTTCTTCTTCTTCTTCTTCTTCTTCTTCTTCTTCTTCTTCTTCTTCTTCTTCTTCTTCTTCTTCTTCTTCTTCTTCTTCTTCTTCCTCTTCTTCTTCTTCTTCTTCTCCTCCTCCTCCTCCTCCTCCTCCTCCTCCTCCTCCTCCTCCTCCTCCTCCTCCTTCTTCTTATTTTAACAACAGGGTCAGGATTAGAGAGAGAACACTCTATTCCCTTTAAGTTCTACTGATTTCAGCGAAGTCAGACAGCATTCGAGGAAGGAGAGAAGACACAGGTCCCCATGTGACTACCCAGCACAGCCCACAGAGAGCCAGAGGCGCCGGGAGAAGAGGCTGGGTCTCTGAGCATTAGTCATTGTCTGCTCACTTCCCAGGAGACCGGGGGATGAGGGATGAGGATGACGAAAGGGTGAGAGGCGATGTCAGAGGACAAAGTGGGAAATGAGAACTGTTCGGCCAGGGGAAAAGATGGCAGCAGGAGCAGGTCTCCAGTGAGTAGGGGGCCAGGTGAGGACGGGAACCCAGGCCCAGGGTGTCGGGTGACTGGCATCTGGCTCTAGTCCTGGCTGTCAAAGCAAAGGAACATAAAGCAGTGTGGCCTTTGATAAATTATTTCAATTCTCCAATCTTCAGTTTCCACATCTAAAAAAATTAAGAGGTACGTATGTGTGTGTGTGTTTCTGGGGGATCCAACCTGTGTATACAAAGAAACGTATATGACGCCAGCAGTGGTAGCAGACGCTTGTAGTCATAGCACGTGGGAGGCGAAAGCAAGAGGATCAGGAGTAGCCAGCCCCCTCCGCAGCACGGTAAGTCTGAGGCTAGCCTGGGCTAAGTCAGATCCTGTCTCCACAAAAACAAGAAAAAAATGGGGAGGGGCAGTCTGGGCCGGTGAAATGGCTTAATCAGTGCTTGCCTTTCCAGTATGGGGACTTGAGTTTGATCCCCAAAACCAGGTCCTAAGTAGATAAGGCCATGCGTGGTGGCAGGCTTGTAACCCCAGTGTTGAAGTAGAGACGGCAGACCCTGGGACTCACAACCATGCAGTTTTGTCTACTTGACCAATTCTAGGCCAGTGAGAGGCTCCAGCTAAAACCAAAGCCTGACTTGACACTGTCCTCTGGTTTCTACACACACACACACACACACACACACACACACACACACACACACCCTAAATAAAATTCAATAACCAGGCATGGTGGTGGTCCTCCTTAGCCCCAGCACTCTGCTCAAAGGCTGTGGCACCCACTGTGTGAGTGTGTGAGCCCAGGCCAGTCAGGGCCACCTATAAGCACCCACTGTGTGAGTGTGTGAGCCCAGGCCAGTCAGGGCCACCTATAAGCACCCACTGTGTGAGTGTGTGAGCCCAGGCCAGTCAGGGCCACCTATAAGCACCCACTGTGTGAGTGTGTGAGCCCAGGCCAGTCAGGGCCACCTATAAGTCCCTGCATGTTAGTTTCTTTTCTGTTGCTGTCACAAAACACCACGACTGACTTTGGCCTAAGGTCCAGAGGGTAAGAGTCCATCATGGCAAGCAGAGGCGTGACAGCAAGTGGCAGGCGTGGCAACAGGAGCAAGAGGCTGACAGCAAGTGGCAGGCGTGGCAACAGGAGCAAGAGGCTGACAGCAAGTGGCAGGCGTGGCAACAGGAGCAAGAGGCTGACAGCAAGTGGCAGGCGTGGCAACAGGAGCAAGAGGCTGACAGCAAGTGGCAGGCGTGGCAACAGGAGCAAGAGGCTGACAGCAAGTGGCAGGTGTGGCAACAGGAGCAAGAGGCTGACAGCAAGTGGCAGGCGTGGCAACAGGAGCAAGAGGCTGACAGCAAGTGGCAGGCGTGGCAACAGGAGCAAGAGGCTGACAGCAAGTGGCAGGCGTGGCAACAGGAGCAAGAGGCTGACAGCAAGTGGCAGGTGTGGCAACAGGAGCAAGAGGCTGACAGCAAGTGGCAGGCGTGGCAACAGGAGCAAGAGGCTGACAGCAAGTGGCAGGTGTGGCAACAGGAGCAAGAGGCTGACAGCAAGTGGCAGGTGTGGCAACAGGAGCAAGAGGCTGACAGCAAGTGGCAGGTGTGGCAACAGGAGCAAGAGGCTGACAGCAAGTGGCAGGCGTGGCAACAGGAGCAAGAGGCTGAGAGGTTGCATCTTACCATCCTAGCTCGGGAAGTAGGGATTTCAGAACCCTGCCTCACTAGCCAGTCAGACGAGCCTGCTGGCCAAACCTCGGGCTGGTGAGGAGCTCTGTTTTGAAAGGAAAATGGGGTGGGGGAGAAAGGGAGAGAGGGAGGAGAAGAAGGACAGAGGAAGATTGGCTGGGGCCTGTGGAAACACACCTGATGCGCTCTCTCATGCCCCCCACCGCCCCCCCATCCGGATCCAGGTTCGGATTGACTGGCTGTGAGTACCGGCTGGGTTTCTCTCAACCAATGGCGGATAGAAGGATGGATGACAGATGGACGATAAAGCCTGTTTTTCAAAGTGCATGTTTTGCTGCTTGAACCTAGTGGTGTTTTCAACAGAAACAGTTCTTTATATGAGTAGACTAGGTAGTGCTTTTAGCTGGAGAAGAGAGCTGGTTGAAGGCCGAGAATGCTTTTCTTTATCTATCTATTCATGTGTGTGGTGAATGTGTGCTTGCATGTATCTGCATGTGAATGTGTGTATGTATGGATAAGCCAGAGATTGACACAGAGTCTTTTCTCTATGATTTCCACCCTAGCTTTTGAGACAGTGTCTCTCGTTGCACTCTGAAACTCACATGCTGGCTAGCCTGGCTGGCCAATGAGCCTGGTGCACTACTACAGACATGAACCACCACAGACGTGCACCACCACAGATGTGAACCACAGACATGCACCAGTTCTTCTGGCTTTTACGTGGCTTCTCGGGATCCAAACTCAGAACCTCATGATTCCACAGTGGCTACTTCACTGACCCATCCTTGTTGTTTTTGTGAGATGGTGGTGATTAGGAACTGACTTTGGAGCCCACATTCTAGGTTCAAAACCTGGTCCCATCTCCCAGGTGCTGGTGGCTTGGTTGGCCCAGTAAATCTCCAAGCCTCGATCCAAACAACGGAGTCTCACCTTCTCCATCTGAGCAATGTGAATAACACGGGAGTGAGGTTAGGATTAAGTGACGCAGTGTGCAGAAAGCACTTAGCACAGTACCTGGAGCAGAAGTGAAGTGCTTACTAAGTAGTAGTTCATCCCAGCAAACATAAGCTATGGCACACCTTACCATGAACAGCAATGTCTGTCTGCCTAGTGCTTTGTAGACAACAAAGGCCATTCTATTTTACATTTAGCTATTCAATCACAGCAAAAACACCCTGAAGTGGGCAAAACCGAATGAGTGACCCCACTTTACTGAAAAAGAAATAAAAGTTCGGGTGGGCCCATTGGCTCGATTTCAAAGAGCAAAAGAAAAATGTCTGTGTCTGGATTCAGGCTTGGATGTGATTCTGTGAAGATGGGTAATTACACATGCACACTGGGCAAGCTGAGTGCCTCGGGGCCATCTGGCTTCGCAGCTCGAGGGGGCTGTGCTTCTACGCAGCTTTTTTTAGATGAGCGCAAGATGGGAGCGAGAAGCTGGCAAACCACTTTCCCTCGGTTTCAACACTGGTGTGATCCGTGCTCAGCTCTGCCCTCCTTCTCATCCCCAAATGCTCTGCGGCTTCCTGAAACTGCCCTCCTGCTGGATGGTTGCTGGCTCTGCCTTGCCTGGCCCTGCAGCTGGGATTTGGAAGAACCAAAGACAAGGAAGCAGGGGCAGCTGCTGGAGACATCAGAGAGCTGGCCAGCACCAGCTGGTCACAAGCCTCGGTAGGGAACAAGAAACTGATGGGGGCAGAGGGCAGGATTCCCGCTTCCCATGTCAGTCAACAAGATGCTCTTTCCCATCCAACAGATGGGCCCTGGAATCGTGTAATAAAGTATAGCATTCAATACGGCACAGACCACAGCTCTCCCGGGAGCGGGAGGCTGAGAGATCAAATGTTAACTGAATGCAATCAAGACACTTCATTTAAGAGGGAGGCTGGCTGGAAGTGGTAGCCCAGACGGGAGCATTAGCGGTGAGGCACACGGAGAGTGGGCTGGGAGATCCACAAGGGCAGCAAAACACCCCGGGGAGGGTGAGAGAATGGACAGATGCGGCCGGGGCAGGGACAAGGACAGGGAGGAAAGAAGGTTTGATTTTATGGGAAAGGGAGCAGCCAGTAACGTGTCAGCAATGACAGGCAGGACTGAAGGGGCCTCAGACACCAGTCAGCTCAACCACTGTTGTCCTACAGCCCGGCTCACAGAGACTAAAGCTCAGGTGAACAGAGAAGCGCACACCCACGTCACACAGTGAGAGAGGGCACTAGGGACTGGGCGAGAACCCAGGGACCTGGGGAGGGGCTCGTGAGAGCGCACGCCTCCACATAAATCTGGGAGAGACATTTTCTCCAGTAGTGTAGCCACTGGCAGGCTGTCCATTCTCTTCAAAATGACTCATCTTCACCAGTGCTTCTAAAGGATCCTCAGTGAAGTCCCTGGGACAGGACACACACACACAAGCACACATGCACACGCACGCGCTCGCGCACACACACGTACACACGCACACCCATACACACACACACAAATACAAAATCACAGAGAAACCCTGCTTCAAACAAACAACAAATCAACAACAAAAGAAAATATCATAACGGAACTTATTGCCATGCATAGTTAGCATATGCTGACAGAAACCTAACCAGGGATCCATAGAACTAGTTTGCTCTTCCCACTAGACACGCCACCTTAACAGGCTGGGATTTTGACAGAGACCATGTTTCAGACAGATCTGGCAGCAGAGGCCTGAAGAACTAGTCTGGGCCCTGTAAACAAGCAAGGGTGAGCTGAGGGAGCATGGACTCAGACCACATGGAAAGGACTAGTTGGCATGAGGCCCACCACAGCAAAGAAACCAGGGGCTTTGTAGAGACTATGGTGTAGCAGCAGAGCATGTGTAGGTGACTCAATAGTCATTTTCAAGCTGCGCCGCTCTCCCAAGGACACAGAACACTTGACCTCCTCACCCCAGCCTCTATGTCTGTACAGAAATTAACCAGCCTCTTTCCCGGCTCCCTGTAGGATGCCAGGTCCTCCCCTAGGCCAGCCCCTGAAATTCTGTTCTTCCATGTGACATTCAAAGGTCTATTTATTGACTTTAATGTATATGTGTTTGCATGAGTTTTGGGGTACCTTGTACATGCAGGAATCCTCAGTGGCCAGAAGAGGGCTTCAGATCTCCTGGAACAGGGACTACAGGCAGTTGTGAGTGGTCATATTAATGCTGGAACTGAACCCTGGTCCTCTGTAAAAGCAGCAGATTCTCCCAACCACAGACCCAT